CGCGCGTAAGAGCCTCTAACTGAATCCCAGGAGAATATTTACCCCATGTGCAGGGGGGACACGTGTCGGCAATGTATTGGGTGATAGCGATAACCACCTCTGACAGCTCCCAACGTCCCGCGCCACCTCTGACATGTGCGCGGCGTGTCAGAGTACGGACGGGCAGCTAGGGCAGCCAGCTCATCCCTATCCGGGCAGCTATTAGGGCAGGTATCTCACCTCTATATAAAGGGGTTGAGCCTTTCTCTCTTAACACATTCTATTTTCCGTACTTTACCTCAGTATACTCATACACATACTGACTTAAGCATCGAAGGCTCTTCACCGGACACAACCCCCGGTGTGAGAGTTATTTGCAGGTTTCCGGCGTTCTACCGGCAAGGACCCAGATCTATCCGTTCAAACCAGACCAGGACGCTTACACTTGTATTAATGTTCATCTTATAAGTTGACATGTTCATTTTACAAATATAATAAATATTACTGAAACAATTATCTTATTTGATAGGATAGTTATGCGCAACTAAACTCTCAATTTATTAAGAAAACCATAAATCATTTAAGAATCTTAAGATATTATCAATAAATAAAATATTTAGTACATTAAAATTTTAATTCTCACTATTTATTTAGCAGCCATCTTGAAAATCAGTGACTCAAATAAAGTGATAATAATTAAAATATCATGATATTTTTTAGTTAATTATTGAATGACAAAGTTAAAATATTTTAAGTTTTATAACTTAACATATTCAATTGATAATAAAATATATTCATCTTATTCGCAACATCTTCATCTTTTAATTTGACATGTTCATTTTACAACGAAATATATTCATCATGTTAAAAAACATATTATGTACAAAATCAACTTATTCATCGTGTTAATAAACATGTTCATTTGAGAAAGAAACATGTTCATCTTATAATTTAACATATTCAGCTGATAATAAAACATATTCATCTTATAAGTTGGCATGTTCATTTTACGAATTAAATAAATATTACTGAAACAATTATCTTATTTGATAGGATAGTTATGCGCAACTAAACTCTCAATTTATTAAGAAAACCATATATCATTTAAGAATCTTAAGATATTATCAATAAATAAAATATTTAATACATAAAAATTTTAATTCTCACTATTTATTTAGCAGCCATCTTGAAAATCATTGACTCAAATAAAGTGATAATAATTAAAATATCATGATATTTTTTAGTTAATTATTGAATGACAAAGTTAAAATATTTTTAAGTTTTATAATTTAACATAGGCCAGGGTAAGAGAAAGAGAAGCAAGATTTAGTTCAACTGATAATAAAATATATTCATCTTATTCGCACATCTTCATCTTATAATTTGACATGTTCATTTTACAACGAAATATATTCATCATGTTAAAAAACATATTACGTACAAAATCAACTTATTCATCGTGTTAATAAACATGTTCATTTGAGAAAGAAACATGTTCATCTTGTAATTTAACATATTCAGCTGATAATAAAACATATTTATCTTATAAGTTGACACGTTCATTTTACAAATTAAATACATATTACCGAAACAATTATCTTATTTGATAGGACAGTTATGCGCAAATAAACTCTCAATTTATTAAGAAAACCATAAACATTTAAAAATCTTAAAATATTATCAATAAATAAAATAATTTGATACATTAAATTTTAATTCTCGCTATTTATTTAGCGGCCATCTTAAAAATCAGTGACTCAAATAACGTGATAATAATTAAAATATCATGACATTTTGGTTTACACAATATATCTCCTGAATAACATTATCAAATTCCTAGTTAAATTGAAAGTTTCAAACCTTAATCATATTAAAATCGTGTTCGAAAATCATGTTTCAGTTCACGTTTTCCAGTCTTATAATCAAACAATTACTTGCTCAAAATAAACTACAAACTGATTTGATGTTACTACACCCCTCTATGGGAATGAGATGAAAGCAAAACGTACAAAACTGAAAAACGAGCGAAGTTCATATCGTCAACTAGGACATTTGTGCAAAACTGTAGAAAAACATAAACATAATGGCCCAGAGGAAATTATGCCTCTAGCGTAGAAATGTACCGCTCTATTTTATTTATGTTGATTTTGTACAAGATGAATATGATTCTTAACATGATGAATATATTTCTTTGTAAAATGAACATGTCAACTTATAAGATGAACATGTTATGCTATAAGATGAATGTTTTATTATCAGCTGAATATGTTAAATTATAAAATGAACATGTTTATTAACACGATGAATAAGTTGATTTTGTATCTAATATATTTCTTAACATGATGAATATGTTTCATTGTAAAATTAACATGTCAAATTATAAGATGACTATGTTTTATTATCAGTTGAATATGTTAAATTGTAAGATGAACATGTTTCTTTCTCAGATTAATATGTCCTTAACACGATGAATATGTTGATTTTGTACAAGATGAATATGTTCTTTGTAAAATGAACATAAACGATGAATATGTTGATTTTGTGCAAGATGAATATGTTTCTTTGTAAAATGAACATGTCAACTTATAAGATGAACATGTTATGTTATAAGATGAATATGTTTTATTATCAGCTAAATATGTTAAATTATAAGATGAATATGTTTCTTTCTCAGATGAATATGTCTATTAACACGATGAATATGTTGATTTTGTACAAGATGAATATGTTTCTTAACATGATCAAGCTTTATATTTTAATTATTAAGAATTAAAATATTTGAATTTTGTCATTTAATAATTAACTAAAGAATATCATGATATTTTAATTATTATCACTTTATTTGAGTCACTGATTTCCACATCAATTAGAGTTGCAAACAAGTCGAGTCGAACATTAGTCTAATTGAGTCATACTCATATTTTTGACAACTGCTCAAGCTTGACGAGTCCATCTTGCTCGAGTCTCAGCTCGACTTAAAAAAAAAAAAAACAAAAACAAACAAACGCTCGAGTTTGGCTCGAAATTTGAGAGGCTAGTCAAACTTTCAAGCTTACAAAGTGAAAAGTACGGGCTCGTGCTCAAGTTGAGCAGTGAATCTAGTTTTCTGGCTCGGGCTAGTACAAATTATGATGTACTGCGCAAGAATAAGAGAAGACAAGGGACAACGCAAATACAAAAATATAGAAAAAAAATGTGGATCTTTAGCACAATTGATGTTGCTGGAAATTTTAACTACCCTATTTTGATCAAAGCTTGAAGTATTGGGATCAAGCTGCACGATAGAACAACTCCATTTTTCTCGCGTCCATGAAGTATCTGTACAAACAAAATAGGCTTCTCAATTGCTCCACTGTGATAATTTAATGCATGAATGAACAAAATTTACATAATTACTAAAATGAATCAGTTATTCATTAACAATACCTCAGTAACTCTTCCCGATAAAATACTGAACGAGCGGTGAGTGTTGTGCAGTGAGCAATCCAGCTGTCTGCAATGGCCATCCCCATATGCTAACCTCCTCTGACACGATTTGTACATAACATAATGAGACTCAAACAGAAAACCATTCTAAAACCAGTAATATTCAAAGTTTGAAATATTTTCTAAAAAGGAAATACTGGAAAAGGCCAAGTCCACATGCAGTTCATAATGCAAATTCCCGAAACCCATATTAAGGTTAAAATTCAAATCGCCTTAAATTGTTCCGAGACGAATCATCTATTACTCATAAAATAAAAAGAAATATCTAATTAAAATGTGGAGTCCAGGTTAGCTCATAACAAGAATGGAGTTATTCATATACACACATAGAAAGAGCCAACCATTTAGAAACCAAACCATACCATAAAATGGAATATGGTTTGGTCAATTGCTGGGCACTTCACTCTTAGGCTAAAGGTATTGCAATCACTTACGATATTTATATTTCCTTTCATAAATATATAAAGATATATATTATGCTACTACAATATGGAATTCGTAATATAGATGCTAATATCAAAAGAACATTTGTAATTTTAATTTCAGAGGAAATAGATAAGTGATCTCATCCAACCACTTTTGAAGCTAATGATCCCTTAAAAATCTTGTAAATGTTCCTTTACTTGAGAAGGCATGAGATTAATCTCTTGGATACAAAAGAACTCACCTTTTTCCCATAACAATAGGGCAATTTTCCTAAAATCATTTATGGATTTCACATTTGGAAACCATAATATCAAAAACTTAAATCAAGAAAACACCAGCAAAGAATAGGTACCATATTGTCAAAAGATGTAAGCAAATGCATTATGTAAGAGGTGCCAAAGTCAAGTTCATACACAATTGAAACTCAAATACAGTCACACATACACACACAGGCAATCAAACAGAAACTGTAGGAAACTAATAAACTGCATTGACACCAAAATCACATAAAACTGACTAAATTTGCCAAGCCCATCTCGTCCTTCTGTCACAGAGGACCTGTCACCATCTATCGAACACTTTCAATCTAACTCCACAATATCAATCAACTTTGGCGCCAGTTGGACCATATTGATTACAAAAGACTAGCATAAGATTACAAAGACATGATGTCTGATGTAGCTAGAGATCATCAAATTAAATAGACAGTCACATAAATCTTTGAAAGCAAGAATTTCTTGAAAAGAAAACAATGTATTCAGAGTAGTATTGCTATCTTTTTCTCCAACAAGAGCTGATTTATATGCAATGAAAAATTGACAACATACTACAAAATAACATCATTGCAACAAAAGAAATCCCAAATAAGGATATGCAACTTAATGACATAACATGAGTCATAGTCAGTTAAATTCACCAGAGCGATATTTGCAGGCACATGTACATCCAGCGGGACCGCCCCAAACTGGGGACAATTCCTTCGCCGTCTCGATACCCGTTTCCAGATCCGAATTTGGGAACCCCGCTAAGACCGACCCGTTTCCCACGGACCCCGGCATCGCGCTCCCATCTGCAAGCACGACATTCGTGGCCGACACCAGATATTCGTCATGCTGAAACCCGATGAAAACTCACCAGGATTTGAGCTCGTGGGCGTCGTTGTTAAGAACGGAGGACAGGAACCGGTAGGGTTGTCGGGCTGGATCCGAGGGTCGAATCGATGGGGAGATCCTTCCGCCTTCGTAGGAATAAGAGAGGAATACTCCGACGCAGGCGTCAGAGGCCGGCGGCGGGGCGACGGGTGTGGAAAGGATTTGGGATTGGGCCCGCCAGAGGGTTAGGAGGAAGGAGGAGATGTTGATTTTGATTTTTGGAATATTAATTTGTAAATTAAATTAAGGTTGTGATGATTTTTGTACTTAAAAGGATTGTTATACAAATAATATAAATGTAAGGCCTTCAAAATAAATACAATTATTATTTTATAAGTTATTAATTTAAATTTTTAATTTTTAATGAATAAGGGTATTATAGGTTTTTGCAAGTACGAGGAGTACGAGACCAAGTACAAGGCGACCAACATTCTTTGTTTGCTTGTACCATCTTGTACCTTGAATCTAATGGTTGATATTAATCTCTGAGTCAATCTAATGGTGATATCAAGAGGTACCTGATGTTAAGTAGGTACAAAGGGTACTTGACTGTAGAAAGTCCCAACTAAATATTATGTTTCTAATAGTGAGAATCTTTTTCAGGTGTACAATCACACTCACTTTACTTTTTCAAGTTCCACGTTTAATCTACGCTTACTCATGCCAAACATGCCCTCAAAAACTTGTTCTATTCATCATCTTTTCTGTTGCCCCTCCTAACTCCCAAGTCTCCTAAACAAGGAAAACAAATGGAGTTTAATAGCATTCTCAAATTTCTTGAAAACAGAGGCATTCTTGTAATTGGTGTTACTGGCTTTCTTGCAAAGGGTAATTTTTCTATTTCTCTCAGTTAATTTAATAATTTTATTTCAATTGCAGTGAAATTGTATAATAATATATAAATAATAATACCGTGAATATATATATTCAATGCAGTTTTTATTGAGAAAATTCTAAGGGTTCAACCAAATGTGAAGAAGCTCTTTCTTCTGTTGAGGGCTGCAGATAATGACTCGGCTTTACATCGTTTCAACAATGAGGTATTTTCTTTGTGTCTCTTTATAAATTTCTTGATTATTTTCTATACTGATGTACAATTTTAAAATTCGGGCTCTGATTTTTTTACCTTTTATAAATCAATTGATCTTGTATTAAATCAGATCGGACTAAGTTCCTAACCATTTAACACACATATTATTTTTATAAATATTTATACTTTTATTAGAAAAATATTGTGAAAAAACTGCATAAACTTGTATGACATTAATAATAGGACAAAGTCCACTTTTGGTCCTCCATGTTTAGGGGTATCCAGACTGAGTCTCCATTATTTTTTGGTGCCCAATTTTAGTCCTTAAAACAAAAAAATGTAGTCCCTATTATGTTTTGGTGCCCAATTTTAGTCCTTAAAACAAAAAATGTAGTCCCTATTATGTTTTCGTGCCCAATTTTAGTCCTTAAAACAAATATGTATATTCCCTATTATGTTTGGGTGTCCAATTTTAGTCCTAAAAATAAAAAAAAATGTAGTTCATATTATGTTTTGGTGCCCAATTTTAGTCCTAAAAACCAAAAAATGTAGTCCCTTAACCTCAATTTATGTGAATTAACGGTCCATTTTTGTTAATAACATCAAATTAGTTGTGTAAAATAATTTGAAACATCGAAAAGATGTAATCAAATTTTAAAGGAACAAATTATTGAGGCACTGGCCATGGACAAAATTGTCATTTACGCAAACCACCTCTCGAACGAGTTCTTCAAGCAGTTCCCCAACTGCCGGACGTACGACGACCCAGGAGGCTCGTCAGGGAAATGCGCAAGGCACTAGAAAATGAGCCGGACCCACTCACGGACGAGTGGATGGATTGTTGTGTGCAGGGTATGTAATATAAATATATAATTTTATTATTTAATATTTAATAATTAATAATTATGCAATGAATGTATCATGATTTTTATAATCAGGTCAATAATTTGTTCCTTTGAAATTTGATTACATCTTTTCGATGTTTTAAATTATTTTACACAACTACTTTGATGTTATTAACAAAAGTGGACCGTTAATTCACATAAATTGAGGTTAAGGGACTACATTTTTTGGTTTTTAGGACAAAAATTGGGCACCAAAACATAATATGGACTACATTTTTTATATTTTTAGGACTAAAATTGAGCACCCAAACATAATAGGGACTATATTTATTTGTTTTAAGGACTAAAATTGGGCACAAAAAATAATAGGGACTACATTTTTTGTTTTAAGGACTAAAATTGGGCACCAAAACATAATAGGGACTACATTTTTTGTTTTAAGGACTAAAATTGGGCACGAAAACATAATAGGGACTACATTTTTTTGTTTTAAGGACTAAAATTGGGCAGCAAAAAATAATGGGGACTCAGTCTGGATACCCCCTAAACATGGAGGACCAAAAGTGGACTTTGTCCTTAATAATAATAAAAGCATTGTTTTAAATACAGTACCAGTAATCATACCGGACGAACCAACGATATGCGGTTCAACCGGTTCAACTGGTTTTACCGTCTATTTTTTACCGATTTCAATAAATATTAAATTAATTTATTATTATAATAAAAGTAATGTTACAAATCTAAATTTAATTAATACTAAAATTAATTAACATCTATTAATAATGTAAATATATTAAAATTAAATGTAGAACTTTTAATTTATATAAATAAATTAATGAAATATAATAAAAAATATTTTAAAAAAAAACTAACATAAACGGGTATTTTGACCGGTAAAACCATGAAACCCGTATAAATCGGCATTCTGGCGAAAACAATATTTAGAGTGTAAATGTACCAGTCGGACCACCGGTATCTGGTATTACCAGTAATATTGACTAGTACGGTACAATAATTAAAAGATTGAGTAAAAGTATAATTTTGTTTTCAAAATATAACTGATTAACCCACATAGCAATCTTAATAATGATAATAATAATAAAAGTAAATAGTCACCATATGATTTTTTCATACTTTGGTTTTTTTTTTTTTTT